TATATATATATATATATATATATATATATATATATATATATATATATATATATATATATATATATATATATATATATATATATATATATATATATATATATATATATATATATATATATATATATATATATATATATATATATATATATATATATATATATATATATATATATATATATATATATATATATATATATATATATATATATATATATATATATATATATATATATATATATATATATATATATATATATATATATATATATATATATATATATATATATATATATATATATATATATATATATATATATATATATATATATATATATATATATATATATATATATATATATATATATATATATATATATATATATATATATATATATATATATATATATATATATATATATATATATAATATATATAGTATATATATAGTATATATATAGTATATATATAGTATATATATAGTCAATAATTTTATGTTCGTCAAAGTAAAGTTTATCTGTTTACATTATTTATGATATCTACATGTAATAGTATAGTTTTGTATAAAATTTCAGTTAAAAATATTACGACAAAATAAGTTGTTTTTCAATTTTTTATTCAAGATATTCATGAACACTATTTGCTTGAACATTATTTATTTGGACACTATTTACTCGAGATCATATTGTAGAAAGTCATTGGATAAATAGGTTAGTAGTAGTAAGATACCTACAACACATGCTTTGATTGAATCAGCTGTTTTCGTTACACGTAGAAAGATTTTTGATACGAAGTGTACTGTCGTTCTTTTAAAAATTGCATTATTTGTTACAAGAAATTTTGCACAAAATGATCGAAATTGTAGCACGACAAAACGATATGTAACGAAGTTATGGATAATTCGATTATTTTTATGTCAAAACCATCCTAATTTGACCACGTCAGATTTTTTATTGTGTAATAATTGTGGTGGTGATACTGATGGTTATAAAAGGGGTTATAAAGATGGTGGTAGTGGCGGTGATAACAGTAACGGCAGTAGTGATGATAGTATAGTAGTAAAGTCGTGATATGTTTTTACATTTATGAAAATATCTATCTATTAACAGAGGAATTTTCTGAAGAGTAATGTGAGCATTTAAGAAGATGAAGATTTGTATAACGTGCGTGTATTGGACATTACTTTTTATATCAGTTGCTTCCAGGTGAGCATTTTTTCTTCCTCTTTTATCAACAATTTACATGCACGTGTATATAAAATTACTGATAGCCTTGTTATGCACTGAATTTTTAGTAGTACTAGTGTAGCATATTGTTTAACCGGTATGTTTTATTTAAATGCACAAAAATAATGAAAAGTATAAGGTTACTATTAATCCTCCTTACAACTAGTGTTTTAACTAGTGTTACACAAGGTTACAATATATTGTTAGTAAATTTGATGTTTAGAATACCATAATATATGAATTAACAATATTTGACACATATAGAATATAGAAGGAGTTTATATCCATAATTACAACTCGAAAAGTACAAATTTTTATTAACTTGTAAAAAGATAAATTCATTTTAATGTTCTATACATTATAACTTTGTGAGGGAAGTATATAAAATAAATACGTATATAAAAATATAATACATCAAATGAATATGTGAATATCTACTTATATTTTCAAGTAAATTTCTTATTATTTTATGAATTAATATAAATTTTGTAAAAAGTTAAGTATAAAGTATCATTACTTTAATATTTATATTTTATTATAAATTATAAATTCTCATATATATACATATATATATATATATATATATAAAATGGAAAATGTTAATTTCATATTTTTTGTTAACTTATTCATTTGTTTTAACATATTTTTATTACTTATTACTACAATATTTTTATTACTTATTTATAATACGTTATTGTAATATAATTATAAGGCATTGCGAAAAATGATCATATTGAGATATATTATTTTCATCGTGTATAAAACTGTTTTGAAATAAAAACGTTTGATTTATAAGAGTGTACAACAGGGTGTTCATGATTTTTTCTTACATATTATGGAAATATAATTAATAATAAAAAAAATATTATATAAAATGTAGTTGCAAACATTTGTTTGCAATGTTATAAGTAGATTGCATATTGAGTTTAGTAAAATACGACATTAACTTCTTGTTTATAGAACAGTAAATAACAATTTTTTGTTACACATATATAATTTTCACGATTTCGGGATTACTTATTAATTAAAAACAGACAAACAGAGAGAGGTGCTGGAAAATTTAAAAACTAGTCATTTGAACTTGTATAAATCTTGTGTGATACAATGTTTAGGTAATTGGCATTTTTACTTAGGAGGAAAGAAATCATCGTACTATTTAAATTTGTAATACATCTAGAATATAACATAATAACAATAATAGTTTAATTAATCGTGTCAGTGGACAGGAGGAAGGACTGAGTTTACAATTGTTTGCGTTTAGAATATGTGTATCTCTATATATTATGTATGTGTTTATATATATATGTTAACAAGAAGCTTTAAGCTTCAATTTTGGATATTTCATTTTGTATAAAAGTACACTGTTTCAAAATAATATACAGTTCCTGCCTTTTACTATATGATACTTTTTCTTTTTTTGTTTACAGTGCACTTCTGTTCATCATAGTTGCTTCTGAAAATGCACAAACAAATTATCACTCATCCCTTAAAATGAATGAAACTTCTGAGGCTGTCGATAATAATACATTAAATAATATGGAAATTAATGACCTAAACACATCCACTATACCAATTACGGAATTACATGATCTACACAAATTAGAAACTGATTATAAAGATCATTATTATCATGTAAGAATTAAAAATAAGAAATACGTTATAAATTGCAACATTATTAAGAATTATTACATTATTTCTTATTCTATGAAATTTCTAGTTATTTAGAAATATCTAATTCATCTATAAAAATTTAGGAAAAATATATTGAAGAATCTGCTGGCTTCGGAACAGTTATAAACGACGGAGCAAGAAAGAAAAAGAATCCTTATAAAGATTCAGATATTGTAGCTGAAACTCTTACTCAACAACCTAATTTATCTCACGGGTAAGTTTTTCTTATGTCAACATAACACAGAAAAAACCTATTACATTTGATTGCATAAGGCTGCAAAATGTAAACTTTATATAAGTCACTCAACATGTATAGACTGATATTTCTAATTTTTACTTATGAATGAACTTTTCTAATTTTTACTTATGAACTTATTAACAATTAAAATACTAAATAACATTTTGAGCCCAGTCTTTAATTAAATTTTATTAAATTCAATATTTATTGCTATGATGTTATGCTGGAAATCGTAATTAACTTATATATCTATAAAGTTATACTTTCATGTATAATGTATGTAATAAAGTCTTCATTATTATGTTTAAGGTATTGAAATGATGAAAATTTAGTAACATAAAAAGCATTGTGGCACAATATACGAAATGTTTTAGTTTCTAGTAGCCTTATCAAAATTATGCTTAAAATAAAAAAAAAAGTATGTGTAATAAGGCATAATTAACGATCTTTGCCTGACAATTAAAATAAAAGATAAGATAATAGCTGATAAGACACACAGTGATTGCATTAAATGCGTTATTTGAAATGGGAAAGATAAGAAGTAAAATATGTAAGGATGAAAATAATAAAAATATCTATCCAAGAAAACATATTTTATCTAATTAATAATGATAATTATTATAAATGTATTATTGTGACTGAACCGATGTACGATTATGATCATTGTACGAGTTTTATTTTCAATAAAATGTTTTACCTATAACATATAAAGAGTTATATATGTATAATAAAAATATCGTTGGCAAATACAAAAGGGGAATAAGAATGTTAAAAATGCGTTCATAGTATGTTTTGGCTCAGAAGAATAAGCTTGATCCTTCACTGTATGAAGGATTCGCTATATCAGAAAGTGAAAGATTAATTTGAATATTTTTCTGTCATTAAACATAAATAAATTTGATAGATGAAATTTTTTATTCGTTTGATGAATTTTAAACCTAAGTCGTTACCAAAATAAAAATGTCGGAAATTTTTAGCTTAAATAATAAAAATAATTAATTCCTAACCTACAATCTTTTATTTAACTAACTAACTTCTTTCTTAGCACGAAGCTATAAAATCATATGCATTTTAAAATTATGTTGATCGCCTTATTTAAAGCAATTTTTCATAAATTATTACAAGTACATATATGCATTCAGTTTTCTTCTTTGCAGAATTTCTGAAAATGAGGAAGCAACAGTTTTAACTTCGGTGAATACATCTGTAGCAGAACTTCAAAGTTTAGCAGAATCAAAGCTTAATTCTGAGTTTTCAAAATCTAGATTATTCCCAAAAAAATCATCTATATTGACGAAAAATGGAAATATAAGACAAAAGATGAAAAAAGGACAGGAAGAGATGTCATCTAGCATACAAAAGCCATCACCATCTATTATCAATGAAATTACTGAAACACGTAATGAAACAAATAGTCTTGAAGAAGAAGAAGAATCTTTGTTACTGACAAATTTAGTCGGGGAAGAGGAAACATCTGAGGTAGTGGTTGTAGTAAGGGCTGAACAAGCTTCTATTACCACTGATGGGCCAGAGTTGAAGCTTGAAGAGAGTGTTGTTAAA